AACCACCCATATATATATATACATTGTATATTATGGTAAATAATATACTATTATAAAATAAACAGTATATGATAGTACTAGGATGGGGCAGGGTCCTAGCACGGGAAAATTCACCTAGGCCAAGGCTAATGTATTTTTCCATGTGATTCTGCACTGTTGGGTAGGAATGTCCCTGAATCCTATATGACGGCTGTATACCTTTGCATGTAAGTATAAATGGAATATATATATATTATATATAGATACACATGCACATACGTATATATGTTGTGTATATACATAGAGCAACCAAGAACTGGCCAGGTGGTCGCTGCAGCAGTTCGCGGGCCGTGTCTGCGCGCATCAAAAAGAGCACGTGTCGTGTTCACAGTGTACTTCCCTAACATGACATGCCAGCATAGCCACGTGACTTGCGAGCCTTCCTGACCACTGGCCCAGGCCGAGATGACGGGCTTCAGTAGCTCCGTGCCATACCTCGAAAGCCACTGGGTTCGAGGCGTTCGAGGAGAGCTGAACAAGGCAATCAATCAGGCTGGTGTACACGGGGGCCAGCTTCCACGTCATGGTGGCTGCTTCATCTTGCACCTTGATTTTTGTGCAATTTTCATCTTCCCGCTCAGAACATATTGGTTGACGTCGACGTGCAATTCTTACGTGGTCTCGCTTCGAAGTCAGAAGGTGACTAAACTTTGTCAGTTTACAAATAGTGCAGCTACGGAGCGAGCCTTCACTGGTGGGGGGCTATACACCGGACGATGTTTCTGCAAACTCTAGTTGCTGTGGCAGGCACAGCCCTGGCATTGCGGACAGCCTGGAACCGACTCCCGGTATCAACACTTCGCAATTTGAACATAACTCTATAGGATACAATCATGACCATAATTCATGTTTAGTGTTATCTACTACTATTACTATTACTACCATTACTACTAATACAAATACTGAGACTGAGCCTCTTCAGGAGCAACCTCGCCAGCCAGGAGCAGCACCGCTCCGGTTGCTGGCGGCAGCGTCCTGGCTGAAGGCTTTACACAATGCTTTGGATGTATTTACAAATGGAATATATATATATATATACCAGGGTTTATATATATATATTAGGGTTTGTGTATATATATATATATCGTAGATGTATAATATATATAATCATATGTATGCTCAGCGTTTAGGGCTTTAGGGACAGACTCCAAGTGCACGAACGAATTTTTTCAGGCAGCCGGCCTTGTTAGAGTTCGGGCCTAAAGCTGCACAGGACTGTTGCAGCTGTAGCTTCTGAGGGACCACAACTCTACAGTATACAACTATTACTATAATTACCATGCATATTTTTACTATTACTATTATTTCTATTTTTATTATCGCTATTACGATCAATGTTATTACGGTTAATATTGGTATTACTATATATAGTATCACCACTACTACTATTAGTATTACTACTACTACTACTACTACTACTCCTTTTATAACAGCCGCATCGCTGCAAGCCTCCTGCTGTATATTTTGCCACCTGGTCGCTGAGCGGGACCATGGCATCTGGTCCTGGACGTGGCAAAGAAGGGGATGACTGAAAAGGAGATCTCATATAGAAATGGGCCCTTCCGGCGAAGTCGTGGTCAAAAAAGCATGTTTGGATTGGGGTATGTTCCTGGGGTGTGTTTTGGGGTACGTTTGGGGGTCTGTTTCGGGGTATGTTTCGAGTACGGGGCTCTTGACGACAGGAACGTCGTGGGGTTATGTTTCGAGGTATGTATCGAGGTATGTTCGGGGTATGTATCGGAAGGGTCAAACATGCTCCTGTTCATGAATTCCTGACCCCCAATTACCGGATAGTAATGTGTAATAATACATATATATATATATTGACATATGCATCAGTTTTCTTTTTGCAACAGGTTTTAGGCTTCGGGATCTTACGCCAATGTTAGAGAATCAAATGAAGCATCAAATGGAAAGTCACATTGAAGCTAAGGTTATGCGGGATTTCATATGTGCGGGCGTACTACGGTGACAAATTATGTGCCAAACCTTTTCTGGGCAGCACCTCTTTAGGATGGCTCTGCAAACATTCGATACATGAATCGGCCATCTAGATCCTGGTGGTTTGTTGTCCAAGGGGCTTCTTGGGAACTTGGCTGATTTGCGGCTCAACTTGCACGCATTTGGGAGCTTGTGGTAAATCAAGTCTTGCCTGGGGAATCCCCCTGCGCTTGCGCTACAAGGACAATGTTATCATCAAGCAGCTCGAACAAGGCTTTCGTCTTTGATCCCATCCGCAAGGCATCTGCCAATCTTGATTCCAATGCAGTCAGTGCTGCTAAAAAAAATACGCTTCACCTTAAACCTGTGGTAGAACCTTGACAGGTGCTCAGCACAACACTATAGAATCTGATGGCTGCAATCAATGCCTGCTGCAATGGTGTCAATGGTGAAGGCGACAGCTTCCAAGCTGACATCCTAGGCGACATTCGACACACGGGCACCTGCTCCATTGATGCGCACTAGGCACAATGCCCGGGAACTACTTTACTCAGTGTGCGGCATACTCGTTCATGGAACGCACCACGTTGCTGTAGAACTGACGGATGGCATGATTCCAGCAACTTGCTGCATGAGTCATGGCGCACTGAATCCTTTTCTGTTGTCCTGCTGGAGAGCGCTGGTACTCTGTGAAAACAATTCAGCAAGCACTCAGGATTGCACCGCGCAGCCAGCCTTTGGGTCTTCCGTTCAAACATGCGCGTCGAGATGTGATGGCAACAGCGACGCGTCAGGCTCAACCCCCATGTGCTTCACTTATCTGCTGCAGAGCAACCTGAGAACCTTGTTCTAAGTGGTCTTGGGCTTCCAGGGGTTCCTGATGCCAGATCTTGCGCTAGATGGCTGCTATATGGAGACGGAAAAATGCGGAGGCCTCTTCTTTTGCTTGACTTTGCCTCAGCTGCAGGCCTTCCTTTGAAGCAATGTATGCTGTGATGACTGATGGAGACCGTTGATGCCAGGATGCCTCTTCTGCGCAGCACAGCCGCACCAATCACAGACTTCAAGTTCACATGGCCCTGAAGCAAGGCTGTTGTGGGAGAGCTTCACTGCAGCACTGCAGCAAAGCAGGCCTCCTGCATCAGGAGCTGCGCCATGCCATCCTTGATTTGGCGGCATGCCGCTGGGCCTGAGATGCTTCACTGGCTTCACTTCAGCGAGTGGAAACTATGCTGTACTGTACCCAGCTTACATGGTGCAGAGCCCGGTGGCCAGCCTTCTTGCAGGAGGAGAGTTGAGATCTGCACCACCTTTGCTGCACTATCCGCACAATGTGGTTTTAAATTCCAGCATGCTACCAGCAGTGAATGCTGCGGCAAAGTCACCGTGGCACCAGCCTCCACCTTGCTGAGATGTCTTCTAGCATGTGCTGGGATGCGTGGAAAGCATGTGACCGGTTGAGCTGGGACAAGGCTTACGACATTCTACCCCCCAAAAGCAAGTCAACGCAGGCGGCTTTGGAACAGATAGTTGAACAAGCACGTGGATGCAGAGCAAGCACCTCCAACTAGTTCAGGCTGATTGGAAATTGCTTTTGCATGCTTTTGCTTCTGATCTTCCCACCCCGCCTTGTGTTCCCTCTGCGCGTGTGTGTACTCAAGACGCGAGGACGGATCGCATGATCTAGAAATCTACTTGTGTAAGGGAGGTGGAGCAAGGTGGTCCTGACTCTACGCAAGAGAAGTTGCCTTGCCTAGAAACCTGAATCGTTTGACTTCACCAATGCAGCCACCGGTTGGAACGCGTAACCAAGTGGAGCTCCCTCTGCGGGAGTACAGCTCAGGTAGGTCTTGGCACAGAATTGGCACACTGATGCCACACATACCACTGTACCTTGCCAAGGAGCTGCATCCAGGGCATCCCGGGCATTGCGCAACCCCCCGCTGGCTACGATGGCAACGTCTCCCTGGAATCGAGGGTTGCGCATCAAACACGTTGTGCCTAGCCCTGAGTTTGTTGCTCCAGCACGGCGTCAGAAAAGAAAGTGCATCAAAGTGTGCAGAAAGGGACACAGGCTCCATGGGTAGGGCCTTGGTCTTCTCGAAAGCCTCAGAGATGAGCTCTCGATGGAGTCGGCGAGATTCCTTTGCCACAGCCAGCTTTGTTTTTGAGTGTTTGGAGGAACATGACCTGTCGTGGCATGTTAGCACATGGCCTGGGTGCCCTGGCAACCATGCGCTACATCATCGTGACCTCAGAGATCTTACCAAATGTTTGCATCATCATTTGCAGTTGAAGCAAAGCGGATTGAAGCAGGTGTTTTTTCAACCTCGTTGCAGGTCCGTCTGCCGTGGGCCATGGGCCATGTGCGGTAGCATGACGCGCACCGTGCCATCTGACATCTCCTTCATTCTCCTTCGGGGATGCGGCGCCTGCCGCAGTTCTTCCGGATCGAAGCCCGGGAGTCTTCACGCGCTGCTCGAACACAGAGAGCTAGAAGGCCGCCCACATGATCCACATGGGAGAGTGACCTTAGCCTCAGCTCTGTTGCCGGACCGCATCCTCGAAGGAACCCGAATCGTAAGCAAATCGCACCTTGGGAAGCAACTAAAAAGACAGCAACAGTAACAGCACCTCAACATTTTCAAATTTGTTCAAAAATTATGGGACACCAGAAAGAAACTGCAAAAGAGGTGACTTCAATCTAATGCAAGGAACTGCAGGAGTTCCACTACCCGCTGCTATTGCCGCCTTCCCGGCAGCCTGCTTCAACCCCCTCACAATAGCGGCCGCCACGTCAGCCTTCGTACTCTCAGGGTGCATGTACACGCCGCCGGAAACCAAGCCTCAGCAAAAAAAGGCGTGAAATAAACTGACTGTTTCGCCTGGCGAGACAACTAGTTACCTTCTGCATTTAACAAAATTGACAGCAAGTATGAACTTGTCTGGGCAAACGGCAAAACTGCAACTCCTCAATTCTGGGCATGTCTGCGTCCTCTCGAGCACTTCGCAAGGTAACGGGCAAGGCAAGCATCCAGCTGCAGCATGATGCAGCCTGCACGAGCGCAGCATTGTACTCAGCCACCGCTAGGAGGGCATTCTCCGCCATCTCTTCTACGAGCTTCAGAAAGGCTTCGTTGGAGTCGACGGTAGGTCCTTTTCCACCTGTGGCACCAGTACCTTGGCCCAGCTCAGATCTCGCTCAGAACAGCATGAAGAGCCATCCTGTGGGCCGAACCCTTGGGACCCACCACATACAGCATAGCCACGTTGTTCACGCCTCACAATTTCACTGCTCATCTTTCGGATACCTGTTCTCCATCTATACGACTTTTCTGCTGATTGCCCAAGGAGCGGACTGCGAGGACGGCGCCCAGGCGTGAAAATGTCCAGGAACGAAGCGCCGACAGGACCCAGGTCCCCGCGCTCAGGCACGCGACCCTTGCTTACGAAGGAAGAAGTACAGCTTCACTCTGAAACAGGGAAGGAATATTCTGCATGACCCAGGGGCAAATGACGCCACCAGGCCGAGCTCAGCCAGAAGGGCAGCCTGGCGGATAAGGCGGCTCGCATGTGAGATGCTAATACTACATTGACAGCACTGGACACTGCTGTCTAGAACTACAATCAACACACAACTTGCAGGCGCCAACCCTAAGTTTACTGGCCGAGCTTCGGTCTCTGGCACCGTTGAGCTTGCAACAAGTCGGCCAGGTGTATAGGACGCAGCCTGATTCATGCCAAGTAGATCATGAACGATTTGCTGCTTGGAGATAGCAGCTATACAGCATGGACAGAGGATATCAATTTTGCAGCCCAGCTCACTACTATCCAAGCCAGGTCATATTAGTTTGAATAGTCGTATAGCCACAAATCCTGAAATCTCACTGCCTTGCCAAAGCTCTTTGACAGAATTGCAGCCTGGAAACCCTCAGCATTGCCTGCAAGGCACAGGCTGGTGTTCCATATATCACTCGAGTTCTCGCTTGGTTGTGCCTTTCAATTTTCGTAATTGCAGCATCCCCTTCTTGCAGCCCTTGTGATTTTGCTTTACTCATGTTACCCTCGCTTGTTGACGAAGGGTCTGAGGACCTCAGTTGTGTTTTAGAGCTAGTCTAATCGGCATGAGGGGTCTCTGGTTCCAGGGATGCAGGATGTTGTAGGGCTGAAAGTTTGCGTCTGAGGGCTTTGGGGTTAATGGCTGCGACGTCTTGATGATCTCAGGGGTTTGGTTCTTCGGGGTGTTGTGCTGCAGGGCTTGCCTGGCTTGACGTTAAGGCTTCAGACCTGTATGAAGTTCTGAAAGGCTTTGGTGCTTTGAGGCTTGATGAGTTTCAGGGATCAAGGGTGTGATGCTTTCCGCCTTAAGCAAACTTCAAGGAACCATAGATTCCGTTCTGGCGTGCAAAATTAGAGAACTATAAGGCTATACGTTGAGACTCAGAACCAGTAAGGCGCAAGTAAGAAAACAAGTTGACAACCCATCAAGCCATTTGTAGGCGCATAGGCAGTCATTACGTGCATGACATGTCCCTCCCTCCACCCTTCTAGAAGGAAGGCGGACGCAATCTTTTTCATTGGTCGGTGACATTCTGCTGCATCACTCTCAGGCATGCATTGCCACCGCCTCAGCGAAGCCTTGAGCTTTCAAGCGCCCAATCTCCACCGAGGGCTGGGTGGGTGGGAAGACAAAGCGGCAACTAAGGGCCTAAGTCGCAGCTAAGCCTGAGGCTGTCGCTGCGGTACTTGACTTTGTCAAAGCCCACCCTCCGCCCTAGTTGCACTATGACTTTGCCTGAGCTTACTTTGTGCGCTACAGGCAGTCATTACGTGCATGACATGTCCCTCCCTCCACCCTTCTAGAAGGAAGGCAGACGCAATCTTTTTCATTGGTCGGTGACATTCTGCTGCATCACTCTCAGGCATGCATTGCCACCGCCTCAGCGAAGCCTTGAGCTTTCAAGCGCCCAATCTCCACCTCACTGACAACGTCGCGCCCTTTTCTGTTCCCAATGCACTTCCTGCATTTCCTTCTGGTGAGGTCCACCTTGTAGCAGAAGGCAGACTCCGCCTTGTTTACCGCGAACGGCCAACCACACGCCGTCTTCCACAGGCTCATCGGCAGATCCCAGCCCGCGACCGTCACCAGGTGCATGGTCGGATTTGATCTGTTGTCTCTCGTGGAGTAGACCCAGAGGTCTCTTGCTTTGTCTCCATTGCGCAAGGAGATGCCGACCTTGTCCTCAGCACCCGGGCCTCCAGGTGACTGACCGTTCTTCTGCTTGCCGTCGCGTCGACTCCCCGCCGGTGGCGTCATGGGCACCGGCAAGTCGCAACCCAAGTCGGTCGAGGTGGGAGTAGGCGTCTTAGGTGCTCTCCAACCAGCGAAGTCCTTCACCGCCGCGGTCCTGGGATGTGGCATCAGTCTTTGATTGGCAGGCACTTCCTCCAAGGCTTCCTCGGCGTAAGAGAGGACCACGTTGGACTTCCACCTTCACAAGAAGGCTACCTCTTGTATTGGCAAGCCGGCCCTGACGTACATCATGGCCCCCGACCTTCTTGCCGAGTGCCCTGACATCTCCGCCTTCAGCTTGTCCTTCCAGGCCAACGTCATCTTTCTCGTGGATTTGGTGCCCTCATACTCATCCACGAAGACGAACTCCGACTTCGAGGTTGCTCGCCTGGAGATTTCTGACCAAACTTTCCACGCACAAGCCCACGAGCACTTGCGCAAGCCGCAGCACCCCAACGTTCTTCGAACTCCCCATCCAGATTGATCCATCTTCGAGATGGGGATCTTCAGGGTGATCACCTTCTTGTCCTTGTCTGCCGAAACATGTATCCAGCGAACAGCTGCCACTTCCGCACACCGCAGCATAAAGACGACTGCCCAAGCGTAGGCCAGGATTGGCTCGCACACTTCCAACCACCGGTCGCATTGCCACATCTTGTTGTCCACCTCCGTGATCTTGACTTCCAGGGCCCTTTTGACCGGCCCCAGATTTCTGGACACCGACTTCTTTGCCAGCGACAGGAGCCTGGCCAAGCCATCCGTCACCTGATGACCGGTCTCCACGCGCCAAAGCTTCAAGTCATTGATGAGGGACGCGGCTGTCTTAAGCCCTGCTGCCTTGAGCGCAGCAGCTACGCCCACCACCACGTCCTCAGTCAAGGGCGGTGACCACCACTCTCCTCCCACGGCCTGAGCAAGTTCCACAAACAACTTCCTCTTTGAGGCTTGGGCTTCCCGATTCGATTCTGACCAGAAGTCACGTTTCAAGGACTCCACCGCATCCACCATCAGCACCTTGTTCTTCGCAATCTCCAGTGCCGCTCGGGACGAGCCTTTCGGGCGTTGCTCTGCTCTCATCGTCTCCAACTCCTTTGAGAACGTGCCTGCCCGTGCGCCATGGCCTTTGCCCTCAGCTTCTGGCGCTCCTTGTGGATTGGTTGTCCGCAGCATGTTCACCAGACACGGCCTTGAAGTCCATACCCTCGTCCCGCTGCAGGTGACCTTGCTCCTGCCCAGAAGTCTGCCGACCTCGCGCTCCGCCCGCTTTGCAACTCTGATCTGCTTTATGGCCTTCATCTGCGACCCACTCCCCACACGAACTTCTCCTCGTCCATGAAGTCCATGACAGGTCTTGCCCTTTCCAACATTTTCCTCACTATCGGGTCCATGCCTTGTCTGACCGGCTTCGGGACGTCCTCCAACAAGTGCCTCGAGGGGGCTGAAGCGCGTGGGGCTTCGTCTGACCTCAAAGCTTGGGCCGCCACAGGCCGGACAACTCCTTCTTGAGCCGGGAGGCAGTTCACACCTCCTTCCGCAGACTGCACATTGGCATTTCTGCTGGTTCTTGGCTTTCTCTTCCTTGGGCTCAGCATTCTGGATGGAGTTTGCTGAGCTCTCATGGTCCTTCTCCTTTTTGTCTGCCCCATCGAGTCGTCCTTGACCTGCGGCATGTCCCTCGGCGCATCTGTCCCATTTTCCTCTTCTGAAGAAGACTTCCATGCCTCCTGAGGGCCCATTTTGCGCGCCCATCTGCATCTGCATCCCCACATGGCCAGCCGCGCGCACGCCGAAATAGATAAAGCCAGCAGCGCAAGCAGACACCACGTGGAGGGCGCGGGAGTCGTTATAAGGAGCCATGAGGTGGCCAGCCTAGCTGGCAGATACACAGGAGACTTCCAGACTACCACCTCCATGGCTGCAAGCACAACCCTGACAGTAGGCACAACAACGGGTCATGCAT